CAAGACCCCACGCATCTACTTGGTCAAGAGGTAACCAAGAAAGATGCTTTGAGATACCTGGGATCAATTTTGCAAAAAAAGTGGTGAGATTGATGAGGATATAAATCATAGAATCAGAGCAGGATGGATGACATGGCAGAGTGCATCTGAGTTGTTGTGTGACCGTAAAATTCCCCTTAAGATGAAAGGAAAATTCTATATGACACTAGTAAGGCCTGTAATGTTATATGGAGCTGAATGTTGGCCAACACATAGGTAACACAAGCATAAAATGGGAGTAGCATAAATGAGGATGTTAAGGTGGATGTGTGGTTATACGAAGACAGATAAGATAAGAAATGAAGATATTCGACGAAAGGTAGAAGTAGTACTGGTAACTGAAAAGATGAGGGAACATAGATTGAGGTGGTTTAGGCACGTAATTTGACGGCCCTTGGATGCTCCTGTAAGAACAAAAATCTATTACCAAGAGCTCGACACAAAGAGAGGTAGAGGAAGACCGAAACTTACTTGGGGAAAGGTAGTTAAACAAGACTTAATGGAGTGTGATATAGATTGGTGAACGGTGTGTCTTAGGAAGGAATGGAGAAAAGCTATAAGCAGGTGGAAAGTTAAACCCTTTGTTATTCCTATGTTCCAGATGGTCGCTTTTTAGTCCTTTTCCTCTTCAATCCCCTCTCTCTTTCTTTTCCCCTTCTTGTCTTTTATCTTATTTCCCCCTTCCCGAATTTTTTTTGTTTTTATTTTTGTATTTATTTATTTATTTTTATTTTTGTTTTTTGTTTTTATTTTTATTTATTTATTATTTTATTTTTTAATCTCCTCTTATTTATCATTAGGTTTATCTACCACTGATTCCAATTAGCCTGGGTTAAATGTGATGTTGATGTTAATATCATTCACCCAAATTGGATAAAGGTATCAAAGTTGGAATCATGATTTTTTTTCCTCCTTTACGAGTTTTTCCTAGGTAAGTACTTGTGTTATGTCTTTGATATTTTTTTTATTGGTCAAAATTATTATTGAAAAATTAGTATTGATTTATATTCATTGAGTTTATATAACCAAATTCACTCCCTTTTAAATTCATTTAGGACAAACATTTATGTTATAGAAATAAACAGTTTGAAACAAGGATTACGAGTTCAGAGTTAAGGTAGCAAAAATAATGAAAGATTAGAAATCAAATGATAAAGATCTTTTTGTCATTAGAAGAGAGTTAATGGTAAAGAATAAGAATAGTTTGTACGAAATAATATTTTCGAACCTTTGCCTCATTATGATATTAATAGAAAGGGTTCGTTTTTTCTACAGTCAATGTAGATAACTTATCTACAGTGAGCCCAAAACGACGTCGTTTTGAGACAGAAATCAAGGTATTTTTGTAATTATAATTTATTTTAAGGTTATAATAGTCTTTTTCATTATAATTTTTTAATTTTTCAATCCAAAACGACGTCGTTTTGGGTGCGAATGTATATAACTTATCTACATTCACTTTAGAAACATTAAAGCCTAATAGAAAATATATAGAACCTCTCTTATTCTAACTTAAAACAATTTGCTAGCTGTTATAAAAAAAAAAAAAAAAAACAATTTGCTAGCTGAAAATTTTCCTTAGTTATTCCATACCCTCGCTTCATTTGAATTATGTTGAAGTTATCATATATCTATTCTCTTGATTACTCGTTCTTCTGATATGTTTTATGGAGTTTATAATCTAGTTAGTTGGTGAAATTTATTAAAGTGTAGATCAATATTATTAAACTCGGACAGATTATTGAATCAGTCATAATATTGGATCAATAAATTATTAATTTAACCTGTGGATTACAAGTTGAACTGGTTCAATTAAATTTATATAAAAAATGAGGTAGGATCATTTGGCACCGGTGTCAAATTTGAAATTTGACACCTCATCTGAGAGCCGTTAGATCAAAAAAGATCAATGGTGTCACATGCTTACAAATCAGAGTCGTTGATTTTTTTGATCTAACGGCTCATAGATGAGGTGTCAAATTTCACCGGTGTCAAAGGATCCTGCCTCTATAAAAATATATACTAAATATAATAATATAAGCAATGCATCTAATACCATAAAATTTTGGACTCATGCTTTTCAAATTGTCTTCCCACAACCTCTTTAATAGTTCGGTTCATCCTCTCAGCAAGTCCATTCAACTGTGGAGTCTTGGGGGGCGTCTTCTTAAGTCGAATCTCAGCCGCTCTGCAATATGCATCAAATGGGCCGCAATACTCACCACCATTATCAGATCGGACCACCTTCAATTTCTTGTCAGTCTCCCTTTCAACCATTGCATGAAATTCTTTAAAGGATTGGAGTACCTGGTCTTTAGACTTCAACAAATATACCCACACTTTGCAGGAATTGTCATCAATAAATGAAACAAAATACTGAGCTCCTCCAAGGGATTTTTTCGACATGGAGCAAACATCAGTATGGACGAGGTCAAGAATATACCTGCGTCGTCTGGGTTGATCCGGTCTCACAAAAGAAACTCGGTGCTGCTTTTCAGCTAGGCAATGCGTGCAACTCTCCAACGCTTGGCCTTTCAACCTGGTCAGTAATCCTTTCTTGTTCAAGATCTGGAGCCCTTTCTCGCTCATGTGGCCGAGGCGCTTGTGCCATAGCTCCAAGCTAGGCCCATCTTAGACAGAATTGACTTCTTCGCCATTGATCTTTCCTTGCATCACGTACAAGGAGCCTTCCTTCTTACCTCGCGCAACGACCAAGTTTCCCTTGGCCAGCTTCCATCTAACACTACCGAAGTAGTTCACTAACCCAGCATCATCAAGCTTGCCTACCGAGATTAGGTTCAACCGCATGTCAGGAACATGCCTTACATCCTTCAACACAAGTCGGCACCCAACATTCGTGGTCAGGGTCACATCACCGACACCAACAATCTTGCTGGTCACTTGATTTCCCATCTTCACGACTCCAAAATCACCACCTCGGTAAGAGGAGAAAAAACTTTTATGTGGAGTAACGTGGAAGGAGGCACCGGAGTCAACAATCCAAGTGTAGTCATCATATGCAACATTCAAATAATTATCCTCACCTAGGAGGAATATCTCGGCATCTGGGTTGGCAGTCATCGCAGTGGTGCTCTTGTCTTCCCTCTTCTTGGGAATAATCTGATTCGGCTACACAGAGTCGTTCTTCTCATCATTCTGTAGGGTCCAGCAGTCTGGCTTCTTATGACCTGTCTTTCCACAGTAAAAGCACTTCAGATCATATTTCGACTTTGACCGACCTTTGGACTTTCCTCTTCTATCACAATCTCGACCCTGACTTTCGCTTCTACCCCGGGAGTCAGATTTCCCTCTATTCTCAGCAACGTTGGCCTCAGACGTGCTCGAAATACCTCGTTCTCTTCTCCTAGCTTCTTCGCCCAGGAGGCTGTCTGTCACGACGTCTATCTTCAATTTTCCATTTAGAGTTGAATTATTCAAGGTCACCACCAGAATATCCCAGCTTTCTGGCAGCGAGCTCAACAACAGCAACGCCTGCATCTCGTCATCAATTTTCATCTCAGCCTTTGACAACTGATTCACAATACCTTTGTAGGTGTTGAGGTGTTCAATCATGCTCATGCCGTCCTTGTATTCCAACTTCACAAGTCGGCGAACCAGGTGAGCTTTGTTCCTGGGAGTCTTCTTCTGAATCATGGACTCCAGCTTCGTCCACAACTCATACGCGTTCGTGAACTCGGACACGTGCTCAAAGAGGCTCTTGTCAATATATTTTCTGATCGTAGCTACCGCCTTACGACTCTGGATCTCCCACTCCTTATCGGATTTGCCTGTCAGTCTCTCGCCAAGGATAATGGGCTCATGTAAATCTTTGCAGTAGAGATGATCTTCCATCATCGGTCTCCAATAGGTGAAATTATCTGCGGTCAGCTTGAACATATCTCCATCATAGGTTATACCACTAGTCTCCATCTCGTCTCCCTCAGAACCCGTCGAACTCGGGCTCTGATACCACTGTTGGGAAATCGGTTCCCTCAGAGCGGCTCAGGGGCCTTTTCGCGGAAGTCAATCAACGAGATCCTGGATCTCGGATCTCGGCAATACCTCAGCCTGAACTTCACCAGGTCGGTCAGCGCAGCAGAAAAACGAAAAACACAAAAGAGGAGAGAGAGAGAGAGAAGGAGAACACAAACAGTTTTTAATGTGGGAAAATCTCCTCCAATGAAGAAATAAAAACCCACGGGACCTAGTCCAGATCAAAAAATTCACTATGAAAATAATGGTTACAAAGAATCAAATTCACCAATGTGGTGATTAACTCAATCTCTCCAACAATGGTGATAATCAAACCTCCCTAGAGATGTTTCACTCAAACTCTTTCTAGAGATCTCTCAAATGCAAAGCATAAAGCTTTGCTCAAATAATATTTCTCTCAAATAATTTTAATCTCTCTCTCTCTTAACCTAGCCTCGGCCCACAACTAATGAATATATAGAGGAGGTGAGATCTAGGGTTTAAGATTTTTAGGAAACCCCTCAATGAGCTAGGGCTTAGCATTGAAGGAAGAAGTTCAACAACATATCTCTCCATTACATTGCCCACCTGTCGTACATCAACAACTCTTATTCTTTCCTGAGGATTCTCCCCAAATCCAGTGCTTTAACTGCTTCTTCTGCTCAAACATCTTAACTTCCTTTCTCCCTCTCATTCTCTTTTTTTTTTTTCAAAATTTTCTTACTAGATCATCATTTAATCAGGTTGTGTCAAGCAGGACCATAAGAGTGACAAAATTATCCTTACCCAATTTTTAAGACACTGCATTTCCGGGACTCGAATTCGATACCATGTTGAAATAATTTTGTGGCACTTGTTCCACATGTTTCATGGTTTTACTATCAATTCTCTTGAGTGCCTACAAAATCTATTTCAATCGTTTAACTCCAGTAACGGGTAATAATGTAACGATGAAACTACCAATTATTTAATTGGTGATAGCATCACAATTAGCCACCAAAGAGTCCCTTAATTGCTCATAAAGTGGGTGCATATACATGCCCTGTACACAACAAGTACTTAAAATACAGTACTGTAATACACATCCACATATTTTGGATATTTGATACAAAACGCATAAGCCAAGTTTTATTCATTAAATTACAAAGGGCTGCTAGAAAGACACATGAATACCAAGTAGTGCCATAAACTGAGAAATGAACTCAGGATGCCCTGGCCATGCAGCTCCAGTAACCAGATTTCCATCAGTGAAGCAACGGCTTATGGGGTCAGGCTCCAGCCACGTTGCTCCTGACAGAACCACGTTAAGCTTCACAGCCGGATAAGCAGTGCACTTCCTTCCCTGTTAGGATAAAAAATGTATGTCATCATAGCACCAAGATGTCATTGTACCATCCAGTGTACCAATTATGCCATCACTTGGAAACAGTGTAGAATAGAACAACAAAGCACCAAAATAATAGCATTTGATTTCAAGTTCTGTAGCAATAAATGAAATAAGGGGAATGACAGAAATATTATGTTTTTTCTGACCAAAATATTTGTAAAGAACCAATTCACGAGTTCGATCATCATCGCTCCTTACTTTTTAGTGGAATTAAATAGCACAAGGTAAACTAAAAATTGGGCCTGTACAATATCCACGCTATAAGCCCAAAAGGCTCTTGCATTGAGGAGTGTATTAGAGAATAATATAAAACCATTAAAAAAGCCCTCACCCAACACCTTAATGTTTCGGGTTGAAGAGGTTCTTTACATGGTATCAGAGCCTCAGTGTCACGGGTTCGATTCTCACCACCCCCATTTAATTAATAATTAATTAAGTCTTATGGAGTTTCTTAGCACAGGTAGATAGACTTATGCATTGTCCACCCTTCAAGGCCAGTGGACTCTCGTATGAGGGGGCATTTTAGAGAAATATTAAACTATTAAGGTAACCTCACCCACCAGCTTAAATTTTTGGTTGAATTGATTCTTTACAATATTCAATGACACTCATTGTGTTTTTCTACCTACTATCCAAAATTTATTATGATGTTGGATTTCCTCCCTCGCAGTATATTACTCTATTTTTAATATGGGAAAAATATTTGTCTTTTAAAGGATATAATTTTGTGTCATTTTAGATTCTAACCGTTGATTATCGTCAATCAATTGTTAGGATTCATTGGATCAAACTTATTAATTAATTAATAATTCACATTAAAATTCAATAAATCATAACCGTTAATTGACGGAAATCAACGGTTAGGATATAAATTGACACAAAGTTATATCCTTTAAAAGAACAAACGTTTTTCCTTATAATATTTACAGTTACACAATACCATCATCTGTTCTATTCCTTGATGGGAGATGGAGGGCGAGGAAAGCGATACATCTCATTAAGGTTATTAAGGATTAAAATCCAATTATCCAAGCAAGCAAAAAAAGTTGTACAAAAAGTAGAAGACTGCCTAAGTGAGAAAGAACAAAGATAAGAATAAATATGAGCAACAAAAGTCATGCTAGCATTTCATGAACACAAAATACACAAGGAGATAAAGCCACACAGAAGATGGCTGTATAGATTTCATTAATCCAGATCAATTACAAAGTAAGTCTGCTAAGGAGATGCTGTCATTCTCAATCCATGGTGTATGTCTCTACCAACATATCACAAAATAAAAACAACTCTAGAATGAAGCTAGGGACAAAAGGCAGGATGAAAAAATTCAGAAGCAACTGGTCTGCGAAGTATAACAGTAATTACAGAAAAGATTGGAAAAAAGGACACAAAAATATAAAGTACAATCAAACTGCACCTTGAGTTCATGAATTGCTTAATCTCAACTTGTAGTTTGTTAAGCACATACAAAGACCAAGACTCACATGTCACAAACATTATATCTTCCCAAAAGCATTGTTGAAGAGTAAAAACTAAAAGGGCATCATGTGCCTAAAAAGCATCAAGAAATTAATATGAAAGTTAAGATCAAAAGTACAATCTATAACAACACTACATGAGTTATATAAGGAAATGACTGTGACCCTGTAAGTGATAATTTCCTACTTGCTCAGCCTCCCTAGTTACACCTTTGTAACCCAAAAAATTCAAAAGAATTATGTCTGCTTACAGTTAGATCTAATAACTGAAGTTACAAGATATAGTGAGATGCTGGAAATGGTGCTTTTCTTTACTAATAGTTGGTACATGACAAATCTTGACTAGAAAGACGCATGGAAACAAGTGTAGATTGAACAAAAGTTCGAAAAATACAGTAGTAAAATACCTCGAGTTCAAGATTACCTAAAGACTGTACAACTCATTCACTTTTTGTCAAACCATATCAAAAGCTACTCTATTCAAATGCTGGTTGAAAACATGCGTGAAACATAACACACACAGTGTTTCTTATTTTTATTTTTTTTGTAGGTACACAGTGTTTCTTTTGAGTTTATAGAAATAATACCTTGAGAACACCAGCAGCAGCCAAAATCTGTTGGCCATGGCAGATAGATGCCACTGGCTTCTTGCTTTCCATGAAATGCTTCACCAAGGCAATAACTGACTCATTCAATGACAAATACTCAGGTGATCGACCTCCAGGTATGACAAGAGCATCATAGCCTGAAGCATCCACATCATCATAGGTCGCAGTTAAAGTAAAATCATGTCCTGGCTTCTCACTGTAAGTTTGATCTCCTTCAAAATCATGAACAGCAGTTGGGCAAGTGTCACCAGCCTTCTTTGTGGGGCAAACTGCATCAACATGGCATCCTAAAGCCTGAAGGGCCTGAAAAGGAACCTTGACCTCATAATCTTCCATGTAATCCTGCAATTAAAATTGTTAAAACACATCTTCATCAATCATCATAGCAATGAAGGTGAAATGTTTTATGAAATAAACATCAAAACAAAGAGAAATTCTTGGGCACACTAGGTGCACGACTTGCTCATACACTATAACATTGAAGTGTGACAAGTCAACTATGTAGGCCATCATCGTCTCCCACTTTAATTATTTGAATGTTAATAATTGTTAGTGTATAGATATTGGCAAGTGGCCTACATAACTGAGGTGCCAAGCTTAATGGTATAGTGTAAGAAGACAGTCTTACACCATGTGTAGCTAGGAATTTCTCAAACAAAAACCCCTTGGTAGGTACAAAGTAGTAAATACTCATCAGCTCTATGACTGAAAATTCTACTCCTACAACTAGTCACGCCAAAAGAAATAAGGAGAGAGTTATCCAGCCCATGATTTTCAACTGCAAACAACATCAAAAACATTTAAACCTACCCCACAAATAAAGAGGATTCTTTTACTGGAGCCACTTATTTTGCCTCCTAATGCCTTCACAAAATGCTGAATAAATTCCGGGTGCGCTTCATAAGTAGGTGCTGTAATGAGATTACCATCCACCACAGTTGCTGACATGGTCTCAGGTTCAACCCAATGAGCACCAGCATCAACCAGTACCGGTTTAACAGGAGGAAAAGCCGTGCACTTCCGACCTTTAACTACTCCAGCAGCTGCCAGAATCAATTGTCCATGACAAATGCAAGCAATTGCTTTTCCAGAACTGACAAACTTTGTCACCACTTCTACAACACCAGGAATATGAGCAAGATACTCAGGTGCCCTTCCACCAGGCAACCACAACCCATCATAGCTTGTGGCATCAATTTCATCAAAAGTTGCATTGAGCTCAAAATTGTGACCACGTGTCTCAGTATAAGTCTGAAACCAATCAAAATGCATTACTCAAGATCAAAACTTTAGCATACAAATTACAAAGCTCACCAACAGCATGTTTGGAACTACAAACATTGGGAATTGATTGATTAGATTTACAAATGATTTTTTTTTTTGTTTTTTTTTTCCTAAAGTCATAAAATTAGATTAGATTTGATTTTGAAACCCTTTTGATTTTAAGTTGTGTACACGTAGAAATTTATTTGGTTTTGATTCTCCATTTCACCTATTATAAGTATAATTTTATTCATCCATTCAATTCAAACCTTATTTTTTACGAATTGAATCCTAAATCAAATCAAATGAAAAAAAAAAAAATTAAACATTTCAATGATTGGAAACATTATATAAGAAACCAAACCCAAAAAAGTAACAAGTGCCCGGGAATGTAGGAGAGACCTGGCCACCGGAAAGAATATGCACGGCGGTGCGGCAGACATCGCCGGCTTTCTTTCCTGGACAAACGGCGTCGACGGTGACACCAAAGGCTTGCAGTGCGTGAAATGGGAAAATGCCCTGAAACACAAAACAAGAGAAGTGAATTGAAAAAACACTATGAATGGAAGAAGGGGATGATGATGATGAAGAAGAAGAAGAAGAAGGAGTGAACGTACTTCATAGTCTTCCATGTAGTCCCCACAAATCAACAGAACCCTTTTGGGAGCCATGGTTGCTATTGCTACTGACACTCTCTGAGTGTGTAGGGTTGGAGGAAATGATTATATACACAACAACCCTTTTGTAGAGCAAGTTTGCACCACTGATAAAGTTTCAAGCTTTGGATAGTGTCACATCAAATTGTCACTTTTTTACGTGATGATTGGACTCCCATGATTTTGACTGAAAGTTTGAAGGATGAATGATTGCAGGGATGAAAGATTGCTTCTTATTTTTTTCAGTGCTTTGATGATAGTTACACAAATATTTTTTTTTTTTTTTTAAATTTTCTAAAGCAATATCAAAAATTATATATTTTACTATAGTAAACTTTGTAAAATAATATTATTTTTTTTCTTGCAACCAATGTGAGAATTCATAATTTTATAAATATAACATCTCTCGAATAAATATATTAGAAAAACAAATTAAATACTCCTTGTTTCTTCAAGTTGGGTTTATGATTTGTGAGGGGCTTCTATGTAAAAGTAATTAGATATGAAAAAAATACACATTGATTATTTCTACCATGTAGTTGACAAGACAAAAAGATGCATGAGGATAAGGAAGGACAGCACTCAGTTCACGAGACAAGAAAATTGATTTGGAAATCTCTGGATTGAACCAGCATATTCTATGCTGTGGCTCTATTCCTGTTTTTTTATTAGGAAAAGTTCACTAATGTCCTTGTGATTTACTTCAGAATCACTTATGCCCCTGTGGTTTTTTTCTTATCACACATACCCCTGTGGTTTGTAAAAGGTTATGTTTTTTATCACATATACCCCTGTGGTTTCTTATTTTTTACAAAGCTTAGGGGCATATGTGATAGAAAAAAACCACAGGGGCATCAATGATTCTGAAGCAAACCACATGGACATCGGTAAACTTTTCCCTTTTTTCTTTTGGGAGAATTGATGTGGACAAAGTGTTTTTTCCTTTTATTGTTTTAGTGTCTATGAAATATCCTTTTGCAATTCTGACATCAAAGTGGACGTGCCGGAGTGGTTATCGGGCATGACTAGAAATCATGTGGGCTCTGCCCGCGCAGGTTCGAATCCTGCCGTTCACGATATTTATTTTACTTTTCTTTCTTTATAAAATGGGATTGTAATTAACATAGAGAGAGAAGTACTCTTTCTAAGTGCATAAGCTCCATTCGCGCGACTTTAAAATATGTAGTGCACTACATTAATTTTTATACAAATTGTGCATGAAAGTTATATCCGGCTTAAATACACACATTTTTATACTTATTTCACTTATCAAGATGTTTTGTTTCATTGTGATTTAAGCCACTACAAGTTTTAAGTATGGGACCAAAACCAGTGATAGAAAATGTCACATTTATGTATTTCTTCATCTAAAAGGTTTCTGACTCTTGGATTTTATGGACCATATGATTCTCACTGACATAGCCATCATAGATTAAAGAGTAAATACCATTTTTAATTCTCAGCAAATTTCACGATACCCTCTTTAATCCCTAGCAAGAAAAAGACCATTTGTGATCCTTGATTTTTTCAAATTAGGCCCACGTTAGTCCTTCCGTTAGTGGGGCTCCAATGTCAGTACTAACGTTTTTCACGTGGACCGCTAAGTCGCTAATTCATATTCCAATTAGGATATAAAATGACGTCGTATTAGTTTTTCATGTCAATCTACCTTAAGTGGCTGTCTTCTTCTCTTTCGTTTCTTTATTTCTGAAGGCACAATAACCCAACACACCCATCTTCTTCTCCACAACCAAATCTTGTTTCCCCTTTCCTTCTCCGCCATGCCTCCTGCCATGATTTTTCTTCCTCCCTCGTCCAAGATTAGAACCCTTCTTACACCACCATCCCCCCACTTCCGGTTTTAACAAATGACATGAACTAGGGTAGCATGAGTGTGGTTTTAGTGAAGGATGAAATGAACATGGTGATCCTATTTGTTTAAACTGATTCTCATGTTTTGTTTAATAGTTGACATGACAGGGAAGGGGAGGAGAAAAGGGAATGTTTAGAAGCCTGTAAGCGGCAGAGTTTTGAGCTTTGTGCTGGATCCATTTTGTGTAGTAAACAAGAACTAAAATACAAAAAAGATGTGATTGTTGTTTAACAAATGAAAATCACTTGGACAGAATCTGATTTTTGACATATAATTACACACAAATAAAAGGTGGGAAGGGAGATATTATTGTGTGAAAAAAATGGGAGCGTATATTAGCCAGTTCAAATTACGACCATTACATAGCCTGTATAAAGCAAACAAAACATTTTAAAATTTAATGAAAATAACACCCAAGTAGTGGAATGGTTATTTCTTTGCAAATAAAAGAATCTCATTTATTGAGATTCTTGAAATTACATTTGAGAGATTTGTTTTGCATATGCTTGTTGATGCCATCCATCTTGCTATAGACATAAACAACAGGTCTCACTGAAATTCTGTACTTGGTGTAAATGGATCACCATTTAGGGCTTAGGAGTTAACTTGGAGTATAACCTTTGGAAATAGACACAAGACTAAGAATACAAGTTGAAGATGAATGAATTATGCACAAGGGTTAGATCTAGACTGAGCAAGATTAAAGGTCAACCTTAAGTGATTTAAATTATGTTGATGTACCAAAAAAATAAAATAAAATTCAAACTAACATTTACAGAAGATGTACCTATGATTGTCCCCTCCAATTTCCAGCTTCCTGACATGATAATGATACATAGTTTAAGATCAATTTGAGTTTAAGTACAATTAAGCAGATTTCATTACTTGTGTAACTGTATTATGAACGTTTAAGTTTTAAAAAATAGGTTTTTCTTTTCAAGTAAAAAAACACTCTTGGCTCATCAAAGAGCTTTTTTTCCTTATATATAATGAGTTTGTTGAAGTTGAACCAAATTTTGTACAATGGGTGGAGTTTGGCTGAATGCATTGTGTTGTTCAAAATGTAAATTTCTTGACACCCTTCCCCCTTTCCCTGCATTTTTGTCTTTCTTCTTTTATGGAGGTTAGATAGAACATACAATACAAGGAAATAGGCATTATTATAGAGTATGGAGGATTTTCAATTTATGCTTTTAGTGTTCTTGTTTTTTCCAGTCAATATATGTTTATAAAGCCATAGATTTTATGTTTGGGGATTTATTTATATAAAGTAATTAATGACAGTTTCAAATGGCCTTTTATAATTTTGTGGGTGTTTTCAGTTAAATCTGTTAACCTATGCATTTTTATCCCCAACCCCCAACTGAGATCAATTAGTTATGATTCAACTCATGATCATGAACCACACAAAATGGTGGGTGCCACTTTGGATGAGAATCCATTGGCCAATATATATTATTCCTGAAGACTAGGGAATATCTAAATACAATGAAATGATAGCATTTTCAGGCTTCTTAATGTTGGGTATGACTCATATTCCACATGCTGATGAGGGCCCTTGTTGTCGAGATCAGCAGAAAGGCAACTGAGGTCCCTGAATAGCTGCTGTTAGGTCTCTGTTTTATTGTAATTTTTCTTTTTTCTTATTCTTAATAGTTTGGGATTGAGCCCATGAATAACTGTTGTTAGGATTTTTCTAATCCTATTTATGTTCTCCTTGTAAACTGAGTGACTTGTAACAAGTGGAGGTGTGGTGAATATAATACAGACAAGCTGGACGTAGCCTATATTGGATGAACTATGATAAATCACTGGGTCAATCTCTTTTCTCTTTTTCTGTTTTGTCGATTTTGTGTGATTGTCGATTTTTAACACTTAATGCACTATAGTTATTTTTAACTTTCTAATAATTTTTAAGGGTATGGTGGATTACAAATTGTTGTTTGATCCATGATATTTAAACAAAAGCAAAAGACTGTTTTTAGTTCAAATTTGAATTTGTAGCAGTGCAAACAACTTCCAATGATTTTGTTGATTCACCTGCCTTTCAGGTTTTAAGCATGAGTAGATTGGGCGGAGTTGGTGCAGTGGCACCACTGGTAACTGACATCCCATTATCATCAGTCGAGGTAATTATTGTGAAGAATGGGTAGTTAGAAAATTTTTAATTTTATCTCTTCAAGCAATTTAACAAATTTCGCGATGATCAGAAAGAAGGCGGTGAAGGTGCAAGAAATCGACCAGCTTGGGACAAGTGGTCAAATGGCATAGAAAGACAGGTAGCTAAACTTATAGAAGAAAATGTTGGGGCTGCCATGCAATTTCTTCAAACAAAGACAACATTTTTTATAGGGTATAAGGTTCATCCCATCTCTCAATGCTATAACAAGACAACATACTGATCTTGGACGAGCGAGGAAGAAAAATCATGGTAGGAGGCATGGCGGAGAAGGAGAGGGGCAGCAGGATTTGGTTGCGGAGAAGACGATGGGTGTGTTGGGTTATTGTATTTTAAGAAATAAAGAAAAGAAAGAGAAGAAGACAGCCGCTTAAGGTACGACGCCGTTTTATATCCTACTTGGAATCTGACTCAGCGACTTAACGGTTCACATGAGAAATGTTAGTAACGATATTGGATCCTCACTAATGGAAGGACTAACGTGGGCCTAATTTGAAAAAATCAGGGACCACATGTGACCTTTTTTATTACTAGGGATTAAAGATGACATCGTAAAATTTGTTGAGGACCAAAAATGATATTTACTCTAAATTAAATGATGAAAATGCTGTTGAAGGTAGAAAAATGTTTCCTCTTGCAGTGTGGAAAAATGAGCACTAGAGAGGTTTTGATCATCAACATCATTCACATTTCACTCATGTACAATATACATTTTATTTTCATTGAATTAATACCAAAACGAGTGATATTTTTTACTTCACTCGTCTATCCATTTTACTCCACTGTTTTTTCATTTCTAAACGGCAACGGCGTTTGAGCCAAATATTTTACTAAGTCGCGCCGCTTCCTCTGAACCCTAACACTCTGTGTACCCTAACCCTAGCTCCGGCGACAATGGAGGTAGCGAACGCCCGTAAGCGCAAGTTCGACGACACCGTATCACCGGCTCCAGCATCAAGATCCAATGGATTCAACGACGACAATAACAACAACAGCATCGATCTTTCCCTTCTGGAAGCCATCGAGAAATCACAGAACACCGTGGAAGTTATGGACCTTCGAACCCTAAAGAAGCTCGTTCTCGCCTTGGAGCGTCGCCTCAAGGAGAACATCGAAGCCCGATTGAAGTACCCGAACCAGCCCGATCGGTTTGCCGATTCTGAAGTGGAGCTCCACGAAGAGCTCCAGAAGCTGAAGGTTCTCGCCGGAGCACCCGAACTGTACCCGGATTTCGTCAACCTCAATGTCGTTCCCTCAATTGTTGACTTGCTCAACCACGATAACACCGACATCGCCATCGACGTCGTTCAGTTGCTGCAGGACCTAACCGACGAGGATGTTCTCGACGAGAATGATGAACCGGCTAGGGTTTTGGTCGATGCTTTGGTCGAGAGCAGCGCGCTCGAACTCTTGGTTCAGAATTTGCACCGGTTGTCTGATTCTGACTCGGATGAAGCTGCCGCAGTTTACAATACTCTCGCGACGATCGAGAATTTGATCGAGGTTAAGCCCGCGGTGGCGGAATTGGTGTGTGAGAAGACCAAGCTGTTGAAGTGGTTGCTGGGGAAGATCAAAGTGAGGGAATTTGATAGTAATAAGCAATATGCTTCGGAGATTTTGGCCATTTTGCTGCAGAGCAGTACGGTGAATCAGAAGAAGTTGGGGCAGATGAATGGGGTGGATGTGGTGCTGCAGGCAGTGGCAATGTACAAGTCTAAGGACCCCAAGAGTTCGGATGAGGAAGAGATGGTGGAGAATTTGTTTGATTGCTTGTGCTGTTTGTTGATGCCTTTGGAGAATAAGGAAAGGTTTGTAAAGGCTGAAGGGGTGGAGTTGATGATAATTATCATGAAACAGAAGAAATTGGCTTATGGGTCGGCTATAAGGGCGCTTGATTTTGCAATGACCAAGTACCCTCCTGCTTGTGAACGGTTTGTGGATGTTTTGGGCTTGAAGACAGCGTTTGCAGCTTTTATGGGTAAGGCAAGTGCTACTACCTTCCGCTATTGCCCATTTGCAGAACCGTCAAGATTTTAAATGTTGCCTGATTATTAATTGTTATTAGTTCCTGGAATGGATTATTATTGAACGATTGTTACTTTAAATATGTTCGAATTTTGTATGCTTTCTTTAATGTGATTACATAGACATCTTATAAATAGATTGCACCTAATATGTTGTATATTTTGGTATATAGATTCCCATCAGTAAGAAGAACAAGAAAGAACGGTACCAAGAGGATTTAGAGGAGCGCCTTGTGTCACTGATTGCTTCATTATTTGGTAAGCAGGCAAGTGAAGTTTCTTATTTGAGTTTTGACTTAGGATGTCTTATTTGCTTGTTGCTCTACAAATACAGTGCTTCATGCATTTGACTGGGTATGATCATCCTCAATCACAAAGGAGAGTTTTTGCTCTAAATGGTTTACTGAAAATATGGTTTTTAATAGAGCCTAATGCTATCAATTAATCTATCTGACCAATGTCTCCCAGTGGGAAAAGGCTGGGGTGGTTATTGTTGAAGGTCGCACTCCCAAATTGTTGCCTATGTCTGAAATGTGGTACATGCTCCCACATTGTTGCCTGTGTGTGGAATGTGTTACATGCCTTATTAAAATGCTCTTGGTGTCTGTTACATGTTATTTATATATCAAAGTAATATCAAATTTTTATGTTTTCGAAAGTGTCATTAAATGCATCCATGTATGAACTATGCATTTTAGTGAGACATGATATATGTATACTGTACTTTTCCCTTTTGTGATATTGAACTTCAGTATCTTATATATTTTCCTGTTGGAATTTTGAGGGGTTCTAGCAGAGAAAGAATACTAATTAAATTTGTTGAAAATGAGTATGAGAAGATAGACAGGCTAAAGCTTTTCAGAGTGACATTAAGGGCATCCATGCATGAAATTGAAATATGCATTTCAGTTAAACTAGGTATATGCATCCTGTATTTTTCCCTTTTGTGATTTTGAAATTCAGTACTCTATATATTTTCCCTGGTGGAATCTTGAGGGGTTCTAGGAGAGAAAGAATACTAAGTAAATTTGTTGAAAATGAGTATGAGAAGATAGCCAGGCTAATGCTTTTCAAAGTGGGATTAAGTGCATCCATCCATGAAATTGAAATATGTATTTTATTGAGGCACGGTTTGTGTATACTGTACTTTTCCCCTTTTGTGATTTTGAACTTCAGTTCTCTGTATATTTTCCCAGGTGGGATCTTGAGGGGTTCTAGGAGAGAACGATTATTAAGTAAATTTGTTGAAAATGAATGTGAGAAGATAGACAGGCTAATGGAACTATACATCAGGTAGGTTGGACTTGTCCTCATCTCTTTGTGAAGTTCTTGATTATTGAACTTACTCCATTTGTTCCAAGATGCTAGTTATCAATCTTTAAGTTAGCACACATCTTTGTATGTAGAATTATAAAATTTGTGGTTGTAGTGCTCTTGATTTAAAGCTTGTATTGTCATTTGAGCATACTGAGTTAAAGCTCTTGATTTAAAGCTTGTATTGTCATTTGAGCATACTGAGTTTTTCCCCCACCAGATATTCAGATAGAGTCAAAGCAGAAACTGAACGGTTGAATCAAATTGAGCTTGATGACTTGGAGGTGGTTTACTTGCTTATTCTGCTTCTACATGTCATATTGAAATAAACCTTTTTCTGAGCAAAATCTAATATTCTTATATTTTATAGATGGATGAAGATGAAAAATACAATCGGAAACTAGAATCTGGACTTTATACTCTGCAGGTAAGATTTTTTTGTTTGTTAAATAGACTATCTGATGCTGAGAAATGTCTTAGTTGTAGTTTTTGGTGTTTTGTGAACTCATTTATAACTGCTTCAAAAATAGTAGTGACTTTTCATGATTTCTTAGGAAACATACTTGGAATTTGTTCTTTGTGCTTAAAACAACAACGGTTAAACCAACAAGGATTTTATAGTTTTATTTTCTTTCCATTTTGAATTGCATTTAGGAAAATTTTTAGTGAACACCAGTGGTGCTTGTAATAGCACCATCTATGAATGAGTAGATACCTGTTTTGCAGCAACTTTTGTGTACTGATAGTTTTATAAATGATTCTGCAGTTGATTGCTGTCATTTTGGGTCATCTTTGGTGCTCAGAGTAAGTATTTGCACCTATATATGTATATGCTATTAACTTTGATATGTATGTTTTCACCTGGCTTGTCCTAATTAAATACTTTGCGGTCAGGCATCCGCAAATGAGAGGAAGAATTGAACTACTTCTCAAGCAGAACAAACTTAGTAAGAAGCATGTCAAGGATGTACTTCAGGTATATGTCCCCGGTGGTTAATATTTGAAATAAGAATCTTGAAATTTGTTGTTTGTTTATTTTTATCTTGTGAGTGTTGCTTTGTGTTTGAGGATGCATTGATGAAGTCCTAAGTCGTCCAACTGTCCAAGTTAAATATCAGTTTGTAATATTTCTCATGCTTTTCAATATTTCAAGGCACCGGCCATTTTATGATTCAAAAAATGAAGTTTTAGTCCCTTCCTACTAAAAAATTTGAAGTTTCGAATTAAGAGTCTGAAGTTTGTTATCCCTTAATAGTGCTTTGGCTGCGGTGTACCTGTCCCTAGGGTATCAAACCTTTAATTAATTTGTTTATATTTCCTTTTCTATAACTGACCTTGCTTAGCATCCTTGCTCATGATGTGCTTGAATACTAATACAGTGCATCACTCCTAGAAACCCAGTATTTTTAAAAAGAAAAGGCAGAGGATCTAATCAACTGGAATTTCTTCTTTATCTGGTACAGGAATATCATGACAATATTGGTGATCTTGATGGACCAGAAGAAAAGGAGCGAGCACAGACAAAAATTCAGAAGTTCATAATGGCGTTATAACTTTTGTATGACTAAAGAGTAAACTTGAATAGAGTTATTAAAGTTTTTTTTTTTTTTTAAATGCATGTAAAATCTGTTATTTGCCCAGAACGAGGAATAGATTATTCAGGGTAATGGAGAAAGAAATGTGATTTGCAAATGTTGTTGAGATCATGGTCTTGCACCGTTTTTGTCCAACGGCTTTATTATTGTAGTTTCAAATTATAATGGGTATATATATATATATATATATATATATATATATATATATATATATATATATATATATATATATATATATAGAGAGAGAGAGAGAGAGAGAGATAGGATTTTTTGACACTACTGGCAAATTTCAAATTTAACAGTTCATCTGAGAGTCATTAGATCAAACAAAATCAAGTTCATCTGAGAGTCATTAGATCAAACAAAATCAATGGTGTCATATGCTTACAAATCAGAATCGTTGATCTTTTTTGATCTAACGGCTATCAGATGAGGTGTCAAATTTGAAATTTGACACTGGTGTCAAAGAATCCTACTTCATATATATATATATATATATATATATATATATATATATATATATATATATATATATATATTCCTTTCGCGGGGTCCTGAATCTTTTTCCTCTATAAAGCAATCCTCTATAAAGCAATTTAGTCCGTTAGGGAACCTAAAATATATATAGTTAGGTAATATTTTTTTTTTTTTGGGTAATAGTTTTTTATAGGAGATAATTATTATCTCATTCATGCGGGTGGGGTCTATTTTCAGAGAAAGAGAAAAAAAAAATTGAGTGGGATCCATATTAAATTTGTGCGTAGGAAATAAATTTTTTTTTATGTAACATAAAAATAATAAATTTCATTTTTTTTTATAGTTTATACATAATAATTAGATTAATACGAAGTTTATTTGGAATTTGTAGGTGGAAAATATACATAAAATTATAAGAATGGGTCGCATTTTCCGTGTTGTGCCTTACCCACGGGGTCGATGTTCTTGTGTGGTTATGTAGGTTAATGATGCTGCTGCTGCTTTATTCGTAATGGTGTTTCGCCAATGTGGTCTGGCTCGTATGCTTAGAGGGGTTCAGCGACAAAGGAAACATTCTTAAACATTTCTACAGCCAGATAATTGAATGTAATGATACCATGAAATTTGATCATATGGGAAGAAGACTGCTTTAATATGTTATTCGTATATAATATGCTGTAGTTTAGAATTATTTGATTTGAGAATCACTAACATTACGGTAGCTTTATTTTGAATCTTGTGCACAAATTTATAATATAATTGCTCGTGGATTGCATGTCCATGGAATTGCAACACCTTGTCGCCTTTCTTCAGTCTTCACTCTATAACAGTGCAGATATTGAGATTTTGCGTTGTGGCAGCAAACTGTAACGAAGCCAAGGATTTGACATCAAGATCTAACATAATCTCAAAAAACAAAACTTCTTACACCATCTTCGGGCAATGTTCACGGGTGCAATCCATATAACCAGGCAATGTACACTTAACCTGCTTTAGGTAACACACCGCCCCATCCCTCACCACCTTTGTTTCCATGGCCTGCCCCTGAAAGAACCTCTGTTGTACAGAAAATGTATATTCAGTGTTAATCTTATGTATACGTTATGCTTTTGCATGCTTGTGTATACTTAAAGTAATATTACTTCATTTTCAATTGCCTATTTGGTTATTAATAAATAAATGAAAATTTATGGCCATGATACCATTCACTTACCTGGAGGTGGTAGCAGTTGTTACTGACTTGTCCCTTAGACTTAGTTTCCTAAATGGTGACTCAGGTCCGTCAAGTAGTTCAATCTCAAGCAAGGTATCCTCAATGGCCTCAGCCAGTTTCTTGTCATCATCGGCATTATGGAAACACCCTCTCTCCTTAGCATCAAGTACTAGTTTTCTCCATATAGAGTCACTACATATTAGAGTTGTTGCGTTTCCTAATATCCAAAGGCAATATCTGCACGAATTAAACTCAGTTTTCAATCAACTTATGTCAGTTCTCAAAACTTGGAAGCAGCATGACTATCTTATATAAGTAACATACCTAGCCCGAGTCAGTGCCACATTTGCTCTTTGCCTATTGGAAAGAAAACCTATTTTTGCATTCTCATTAGATCTCACAGTGGAGATTACTATTATATCTTCTTCACCACCTTGAAAGCCATCAACAGAACGAACACTAACAGAGAAGTCAGGATCAGAATCCAAATTGTACTGCTTAATTTTTTCCTGTATTTCATACACCTGTGCATTGTATGGAGATATGATTCCTATGCTAACTTTCTTCCTTGTCCTCAAAAATTCTGTAGTAAAAAGGGGATTGTGTCATCAAATGATGAAGCTTTCTTATTTAAGAAACACATATACATGGAGATTAGAGAAGGAGAAAGAGAAAGTAACCATTTTTAAGGCTTCCAATAATCTCGGAGATGGCAGCAACCTCAACCATGTTCTTCAAACTGTGTCCACGACCAGATTGCTCTTTGCCCTTAGCTATGTTTATAAAAGAATATGAAGCATACATTTTCCCTTCAAGGAAACGCCTATTATAGTTCATTTCTCTAACAATGAGGGCATCAGAAAGCTGCTCCTCGTAGAACTCCTTATTTGGGAATAAGCTGATGGATGGATGCATTCTGTACTGAACATTAAGCAGATGCTTCTTGTATCCCAACATTACCAGCCTCTCAAACAAACTTCTTCCATATTCAGCCTCTTCAGAAGCCTAAAATTTGATCATTATAGTCATACTAGAAAGTAATCTTTAACACAAACAATCCAAATCACAAAAAATGAGAGAAACCAAGTACCTTGCTTTTAACTACAGCAGGAAGTTGTCTCTCATCACCTATGAGGATAGCATGCTGGAGGCCTGGGAGCTGCAATGGAATGGCTGATTCACATTCTTTTAGCTGGGCTGCTTCATCAATAACTAAGAATTTTACTGGTGTCATTCCTTCTGCAAACAGTTTAGTAGAACTTGCTGCAGTACAGAAAACCAGGCATGCATTCATCAAGCAAAGTTTTGCTATTTCATATTTGTCAGTAATTTTTGGAAGTGAAATTGTCTGAGAAAGTGATCTTAGTATAAGAAGGCACTCTTCTCTTTTGATGCTTAGCCTTTCAAGGCATTCAAGAATGCTTTCTCCATCTTCATATTCATTGTGAGTTTGCTTCAACTTGGCTTTACTTATGGAGGTTTCAAGAGATTTTAGCAAATCAAGAGCTACAGACATTTTTTTCACCACCTCAAATGGAATCAAAGAAGTTGGTAGATGTGTATACAAAGTTCGCATGTATACCTTGAGTTTCTCTGCAATAAAACTGAATCTCAGCTTAAAAAATTGCTCCAGTGTCATGACATTATTCTTTTTATCATCCTTATACGAACGATATTGCTCTTTGATGTAAGTAAGTTCCTTCTTAAAAAATTGAGCTAATGTCAAAGGATCATCATTCTTCTCATGTTGCTTGTATGAACTGTATTTGTGCTTAGCAAATTCTAGTAATGACATAAGATCATCTTCTTCTTCTTCCTCATCATCCACATTACGCTCATTCAAACCATATTGCTTTTTGGGTTCCTCTAGCAACTTGATCATTGATTCCAAGTAATCATCCTCATCACGCTCATACAAACCATATTTCTCTTTGGGGTCCTCAAGCAACTTGATCATTGATTCCAAGTAATCATCTTCTTCTTCCTCATCATCCACTTCACGCTCATACAAACCATATTGCTCTTTGGGGTCCTCAAGCAACTTGATCATTGATTCCAAATAATATTTCCATCCAGTTGATTGAGCAAAACACTTAACAAGATTATCTACACGATAATCAAGAAAGACATCCTGGAGTCCTGGATAACAGTCTACTTTAATTCTAGATCTATTGCCAAATACCACTATGTCACCAAAGCCATATGTATCATACTCAAGAGACTTCTTAACTAGATTCTGCAGGCGAGCAGCCACTTCCAACACTGCAGTATTAGTTGGAGCACATGTTAATGTTCTGGTTTTCAACTTGAGCAGGGAAAATAACAAGGAAGCCACTGTCTTCGTTTTGCCAGTCCCTGGTGGGCCCCAAATAAGTTTAATAGTCTTATTATGATGACACTCCTTCATAGTAACACAGCTTAAAACTGCATCTTTCTGTGATTCATTCAAATTCTGAGACTGGATTATGTTTTCTACACTAGAACAAGCTACACTATGGTTTTCTTCAGAAAAGCACAGTTGACAATGTTCTACATTCTGTAAAATATGAAGCAAGCATGAATTATGTTTCCTTCATAACTATAAGTAATCCTAATAAAAGCATTGAATTCTGGTCCAGCTTTTCAAGATATAAATTTGAACATATATTGCATCATGCTACCTGTGCAACAAATGCATGAACATTTCAAAATAAGTACCCATGTAGAAAAAGTCACTAGTGGTATTTAAGAAGTTACAGTTAGTAAAATTGCTTAAGCAGTATGTTATTGAATAATTAGAAAGCTAGTTATGAACTGATTTAGTGATTCTTACATCTGAATCAGCTTGCAGCACTTTTTTAATCATGCTCATGTTTGCACCCTCCAGCTCTGAATTCAAGGCTTTCCAAATACGAACATTTGTTGTCAGGTTCAAAAGATAGACAGCATAAAGCTTTGGTGCATTGTTGCTCTTAAAGTTAGATAAAATCTCCATATCCATGCTTTTGGATGACAGTATAGAGATCTCATCAGTACTTTCTTTTGACTTATGAACATAAGCAATATGGTAGTATCTTCTGGGCCTGTTCAAGTCATATTTGGTTTTTGGTTTAATATCAGTGAAGGCAATGAGATCTCCAACCGCAGGTTCATATTTTCCAATATCTTTGTCATCATTATTAGTTCTCTTCACTGAAATTTTATAGAACATGCCCTTGGTAATTATGAAGTTTCTGGACCTTTCAACTGTCAATATTTCACAAAAGGGAGCTCGAGACACGCCTGTCAAGCTTGAAGAAAGTTCACTGTGAATTTCCTCAATCAGTGGAGGAATGAAGGAGTTCATGTAATATGTTGTTGACAAGAATGTCTCTGGGATCTTTCTCACCTGAAAGAAAACAATGTTTCAGGCTACTTATTTTGATAATTTGCCTTTAATGGAATGCCATGACTTTCCAATGTTAATGCATTTGGATTCTCCAAATAGATTGTAGAGACTTACCTATGTTATGTACATAAATTTTCTACTAAACAGATATATTTCTAATATCAAATTAGAAAAATGAAGAGCTCATTGAGGATAGTTAAGTTTTGCAACTGATAGATATGTCATAGGTCTTTCATGCCATAAACTATTATTTTCCTCACTAAAATAATTAAGTTAATAATATAGAGTTAAGAGAAACTTACACGATTTTGTTTAAAACATGGCTTGCATAGAGAGCAAGTAAGAAACTAATACTAATTTTCAATTTAGAATTAAAAAAAAAAAAAAAAAAAAAACAAGAATTCGATTGAGGTGGAAGAAGATATAAAGCATTTAAGGAATGGAAATCTAATGAAATTTAAATTTCATGGTCTTCCAACCATTATAGATGTCCTAGAATGGCTTGTCATGCAGTTCTAAAATTCATTTCCTCTCTTAACTGACAAAAACAGATTAAAAATAAAATATAGAATCTAAAGAATCACATGGATGATTGATGAGTTTTTGACTGATATGTTCTAGTAGATTAATGTTCTTTTCATGTTGAGTATTGAAAAAAAAAAAGGGTGGAAAAACAACCTTGTGTTTGCAGAGGTTTTCATTGAGCACATCATTGAAAGTCCAAGAGAATACAATCTCTACCAAACTGGCTAGATCAAGATCCTCCCCCTTGTCATTATAACTCTTCTCCATCCTTTGCTTCTTTCCTGATTAATTTCACTACTTCTTTCTCTACAAGGCAATTGATAGCAGAAACAATGTCACACACAGCTTCTTTTGTACATGAAAACCAAAACACAAGGATGGTACAGATTTTAAAGAATCCCTTACACCTTAAGGAACTAAAAAGTTTATGCAAGACTTGCTCAACAGTCAACAGCTATACTACAGTTTCAATCCCATGATGAAAGTGAAAAGAAGAAAACAGAAAAAAGTTCCCATGGTTAATGGAGCCTTAATTATGGTCATAAAAAGCAACTTAACATACATCTAAAACGTCACAGCTAAAGGAAAAAAAAAACAAAATGGTAAAGATGTGGAATGGTTATATTTTATGCAGTCCACATTATGAGGTAAAGGTACAAAATGTTAATACCAATTACCAAGTCAACAAGAAGTCAATTACATTATTGGAGCGTGAAAAAGAGGGTTGGCTAATTCTAATTGGCTTCATGCACTATTGGTTACTTTCATAGCCATTCTTGGGGTACGTGAAAGGATGCAACCTAAAGTGTGAGAAGAACTGTAGAAGATGGGAAATTACTATGACTATGACTACATTGTAGAAGACTTGAAATTTCTATGACTTTTAATGTTGTGTCCTTAGTTTGGTCACTTTAATGGAAAATGTTGTGGAAAAAAAAACCAGGAATTCTCCTTTTATTAATTTATGTCTTAACTCTTAGCTTCCATAAAATAGCTTCCTCAGTGACAGTGATAACAAAAAGTTAGTAGCAAATAACCAAATTTGTGATTTGGTTATCTTGATCAAATTTTATAAGACCCGTATAATAGACATATAGTTATTCAAAACTAATGAAATTTTGTATAAATTATTTTTTTCTTCATACATGAGAGTGTGTATGAATAGAGTCGAGCTAAATGTAAGAATTGATAATTGACTAAAAGAAGAATAACTTGATTAAAAAAAGCAATTGAAGAAAAATATGACTAACCTATTAAAATATTTGGAAATGAGAGTAATTAAAATAAATTATGAGCAAATATGTGGGTTTTTGTACTAAAAGAGACTTAAATTAGTGATTAAAGAAAGAGATTAGTGAAAGCATTTATTTTTGTTTACGCAAAAAAAAAAAATTAGTCATATTATAGGAGATAATTTTATCTCTTACATAAATGTAAAAGTGTGCATGACCCATTTTTTTTCTCTCTTTTCTTTTTACATAACCTCATATTGGTCTCATACACTTTTATATGTGCATAAAATAAAATTATCTATTGTTATAAAAAAAAAATAAAAAAAAAATTATCTATTATAATATGAAAAATACTAATTCCTTAAAAAAAAAAAATGAGGTTAGCGCTATAGCTTTTTAGAAGTGATCTTAAAAAAATGATGCTTCCTCGGAGTTTACTAAACTTCGCTGGGAAGTTATTGAAAATTTAAAATCAACACTCAAGCTTTTTAGAATTGGTTGAAAGTTTGATGTAAAATTCATTCCTATATATTAAATATGAATATATTTTCTTAAGAGTGGCTTAATCTCTTAATTTATTTTAAACAAAATAACACATGTTATTTTTATCTTTACTTTTTTATATTTAAGATTAAATTATTTTAAATTAAATATGTATACTTTTCTTATAAATTTAAATATTATTTTAATATATTTTTTAATTTATACTTTTCAGATCTTATCTTTTAATTTATACTTTTAAATATTTATTCTTTTAAAAATACAATTATAAGATTTAAAAAAACACAATTATATAAGATGTATGCGGATTATGTAAATTCCATAAACCTTAAGGTTAAGAATTTGTTGTGTTATTTCATACAAAAAAAAAAAAGAATTTGCTGTGTTATATTATAGTAAGCACCATTCAAATTTAAACATGGCATGAAACACGTGTCTCACCATCCTTTCTTTAATCTAAGTTAATTTTAGGTATTTTAGATCCATAGTTCGTTGCATCTTGATGCATATATCTCACATAAATCCATAGCTAAATACACATATGGATCACACAGTTCGTGGACTATAGTCTATCCAAGGGCGTTTGGTTGGTGGAATTTGTTGAAATAGATGGATAAATTAGGAGTGAGATTGTTGGACAACCATGTTTGGTTGAACCGGTTTTATACTATGCTACTTAATTCATTTCCCTAGATCTTCATATTTGCAAGTCTATCTGTAACCAAAAACCCGTCCAAATAATCTCACTTCTTATGTGGGTTTGCGACTTATCTAGATATCTTCACTATTGTCCAAGCTGCAGATGACCAGCGTACCTCCTTAATATTTCGTTTCTTGAAGATATGTTGTTATATTTTTCGTTTCTTGAAGATAGAATCCCTGATTGAAAATATTTTGAAAACAGGGTTATTTTTGTAATATCAACCTTCTTTCCCATCTATATTTTACTTACATCCAAACATAGACTTTATAATTATTACCTAATTTACCCGGTAAAATATTTTCCAACCAAACAACTTTTTTTAACATTTCCCTACCAAACTCATTTTTCACCCATTTCCCTATATATATCATTTCCCTATTATTCATAAAATTTTCCCTCAACCAAACGCTCAAGGTTTTTTCTTATATTTTGTGTTAGGTAAATCATTCCTATTAGAGTTCAAAATCCTGAAACTTTTTAGAGTTAAAGAAAATTGATAAATTTTTTAAAATAAAAAATAAAAAATTAATTATTATCTAAAAAAATTATATACAGTTAACTTTTTTTTACTATAGTTACTCGTCCAAAAAAAAAAAACTATCTGAAATAAGTTCATAGCTACAGAAAATCCGAAATTTATTGCTTATGATAATTATAAAAATAAAAATTAAAACATAATAATAATCGATCACTTGTATCTTTCCTATGCCAGCTCCACTTATTTGAATTAAAAATTTATACATCATCAAATTTTCAGGTTGATTTTACAATTTTCTCATAAGCAGTTCATTGTAGCATACAGGGTAATAACAAAGTATTTGATTTTGAGGTGCAGACAATTTCCAAAAAAAATAAAAAAAATGCAATGGAAATATGGTAATTATAAGGAAGTTAGTTTTAGGGCCTAAACATCTATATAAACCTACTAGGTAAAGGGCCTATTGGGCCTCCTGCTAGGCTCCTCCATCCTCTTGGGCCTGCTTCCCCAATACCGGTCGCCTCAATAAGTGTTACTTGAGAAGCATAACTGTGGAGAGGGAAAAATACGATATTATTTTTAATTATTTATTTTACTGACTATAACAATAATAATTTATCTAAGAAGCCTAAACATTGGTATTTTTAATTTTACTGCTATTTTTAATTATTATTGCTATTATTAATTCTCTCTCTCCCCTAATTATTCTTGTAACCATAAACATTGTTGTAAAATTAACTAAGAAGCCTTCCCATTCTTGAAATTAATCCAATTGCATATTATCATAGTGCTATATGTTATGTATTTTAAAAAATACAATTAATACTCTCAAAGTTGATAAGAGTTTCTCCTCATTAGAGTTCAATGTGCATCCTTTTTTCTTTTTTTCTTTTTTAAAAAAAAAAACCAAAATTGTGGGTTCAAATTCAAACTAATTAAGTAAACATGAATACTTTATTTGATTTGAATAACCAGTTGTCATTGACTGATTCTTCACATGCACCTTTTAGATTGTTGGTATCATCATCTTCACTTCATAAGCAAGTGCATTGAGTTAGAAACAAGCAAATCAATGAAAACAACACAGATGACCAAAACTATATATTAGCAACTTTCAGCTAGTAATGTTGCAGAAAGATCATCCCTTGCACCAACCTCATGCCTGATTTTGTACACTTTATACTTTTCAAATATCCATATCTACAGAAAATATCACTTCTCTTGATGAGTATAACTAATGACCATCAAAAGACAATTTCAGAAAGTGGGTGGTGGAAAGGAGAAAGTCAATATATATGGTAAATGATATGATACTGAGAAGACCCTCCAAAATCATCAAAACAAATCCAGGTTTGACATACCATATTGCTTCATCTTTATCATATCCAGTTGGAATCTTGGGTTGAACCTACAATGAAAATCCAATGTTGATTCATTGGTAAGTTTTAAGATGGACATAAAAAGTGAGAAAGAAACTCAAGTCAATATCTCATTTGTTAACAAAAGGAAAGGCTTACTTAGGAATTTAGAATTATAACAACAAAAATAAAATATACAATAAGACATGGCCATGACATTAAAGTCTCAAAAAGGCAAAAACAAAACTTACCTGTAACTTTTGGCTGATTAAATTTGAGAGTAAATTACTTTGACCTCCCTTGTATTTTACTTGCACTACACTAACCTCTTCTCTATTTTAAAATCAACACAAACCTCCCTTAAACTGTAAAAATATGCATTGAAAAACCTACATGCACCTCTCTTGAATTCTTATATATATATATATATATATATATATTTTCGTAAACAGAGGAGAGGTTTGTGTAATAGAAACAAAATTCAAAGGAGGTATAGTAATATACTATTGATTCTAGCCTAAACATCCCTCAGTCTGAGCAAAGCAAATTGGTTACAAAGAAACTGCACAGGATCAGCTTGTGGCAGATTATAATTGGTTGGATAATTTGAACCAGCTAACCATATCATTGGTACTTCAAGATTCCTGCAGTAATTGATTGTATAAACACTCCTACTTGAAATGAATTTTCCAAAATCTTTAACTATGTGAAGCAAATCATATAATTAGTAGTAGAATTATACCCATCAGAACACCTAATTCTGCAGCCCCTAAGAATATCAACAGAATAATTCCTGTACCAGATGTCAATATCTCTTGCAATCTTGGATACCTCAGACAATGGCAAAACATCCCAAATCTTCAAAAACTGAACATAATTTGAGTTCTCTTCAAGAACATCTATGGTCCATACAAGATAAAGAAACTCATTGACCTTATACAGCTCCAGCAATTGGGAAGAAGTATCATCTACAACTCCAACATTTATCACCTGGTGAGGCTGACGCCAACCACTTGAAAGTTGCACCAGCAGGGAAAATATTTTCTTGCAAACCTCAGTGCTCTTGATTCGTGCCAAAGAGATCATAAAACTTTGATTGAAGAAAACCTATAATAGTGATAGATAGACACAGAAAAGATTGAGAATACAGGAAAATGGTAGAGCTGTTTAAGAATCCTGAGAAGAATTTATCAGCTGCATGTGTCATAAGGGTTAAAGAGCAGCTACAATTCATCACTCACAATACCCTCTTTAAGGAGAAAGAATTTTAATTTTAGAGAACTTTTTATAGGATAAATCTATTGGTCTATTATGCATACCATTTGATAAATTAGTGGTGTGAGAAAAATCAACGAGAGTAATTGGAATGAGCAAACTGGTTGGTCAGGGCAGTGCAAGTGTGGGCTAGTTCAACACATGAACTGCCTTATTCCTTGTCATGTATAACATTTTGATGGTGAAAGATGTATTCAAAGCTTTACAAAACCGTAAAATACATATTAGATTCATGCTTTTATCAAGTGTGAAGATAAAGAAGGTCATATTACTGGAGCCTATAGCCTTCTGCATTTTCATCAAAAGAGCCCTCTACAAGTGATAATTTGCATTGTGTTTGATACTAACAGAAGAAATATGACCACAAGGAAACATGTTTTATTAGGCCTTGTCTATATGTGATAAATAATGGCAAGCTCCCTGATTAACCGACTAGGAATTGCCTATATTATGAGGAAAGAAATGGGAATAAGGTTCAGAATGAAGATGTGGATTCTATGGGTCTGGATTGAAGGATAACTGAATTTTTTTGACAATGTTGATTAAGACTGACCTCACTTTAGTTAGAATTTGTTAATCCCTACTTTAATTGTTAAAAAATTTCCCTTTAGAATATGTAGTTATGTACACAAACAAATTTTAGTTGGAAATGTTTTCTCTCTCTTGTTATGCTGCTTTTGGAGGGTTGAACTTGAAATATAATAAAAATAAAGGCGCAAGAACAATTTCAAGCAGCATACCTTCCATCTTGCTTTTCTAAAGAACATAGAATTCATATCCAATAGATCACCAAGTTGACCAAGCTCAATCATGGCAGTTGCAATAGCATGAGACAACCTCTCATCCTCATCAGCATTATGATAACACCCTCGAGCCATAGCATCAAGGACTAATCTCTCCCAAATGGAGCCACTATGCATCAAAGTTTCACCATTTCCTACTATCCAAAGGCAATACCTAGATAGACAGGGAAAAGTAGTTAAAAAAAAAATGAAAAGCAAATTGCGTGTAGAATATCAGGGAACAGATCATACCTTGCTCTCGTTAGAGCAACATTAGTTCTTTGAAAATTAGAAATAAATCCCACGGATCCCATGTCATTATATCTGACAGTGGATATTATGATCACATCCTCTTCGCCACCTTGGAAACCATCAACAGTGGAAACCTTCACGGAAAAATCATTGTCAACATCATCACCAAACCTTTTTTTAAGTGCATCTTCGATGGCAACAACTTGAGCTTTATATGGTGATATAACACCAACACTAACAGTCTGTTTTCTGGAAGTTGATTCTGTAAAGAGTCAATAGATGATAAAAACTACCCCGCAATTAGGAGGAAAAATATTATTCATAAGTTATATGGATAAAGTAAATCATAACAAACATTTATAGTTCGATTGGTTAGTGGCTCATATATTAGATCACAAAATAAAATTACCTTTAAAAAGGTCAAGAACAATCTCAGATACCACAGCTACTTCCACCATATTTTTTCGGCTATTCCCTTCGTCAAGTTCATCTTGTCCGAAAGCAACATTTATGAAAGAGTAGAACTTAAACATATCTCCATGTAGAAAATGTTTCTCATAGCTTCTTTCTTTGACACTTGGAGAATCCAAAATCTGTTTGTCATAAAACTCCATATTTGGAAACAAGCTAATGGATGGATGCATTCTATATTGAACATTGAGAAGGTGTCTTTTATGACCCAAAAGAACCAGCCTTTCAAACAAACTTCTCCCAAATCCTGCCTTATCAGAAATCTGCATACTAGCAAAAATTCATTAGATGTTTGAATATTTTGTCCATGAATTTCATAGAAGAATAAAAAAAAGTGAGAAATAATACTAAATATGCTTGAATACATTGGAAGTGGAACTAACAAGACAACACACCTCACTTTTGACTAGTGCAGGCAATTGTTTCTCATCTCCAATAAGTACAACATGGCGAAGATCGGGAAGTTGTAAAGGTATATTTGACTCACATTCTTTGAGTTGGGCAGCTTCATCAACAACTAACATTTCTAGTCTATCAAGTCCTTCTGCATGCAATCTAGCAGAGCTTGAAGTAGTACAAAAAATCATGCGAGATCTTCTCAAACAAAATCTTTTAATTGAATATTGATCAAAAAAATCAGGAAGAATCAACACATCTTGAAGTGATTTCAGTATTTTAAGGCATTCTTTCCTGGTCAGACCCAGCTCAGACTGCCAAGTACAGTAACTAACTCTACTTTCATCAACATAGGATGTAGCAAGGGCAAGTTTGAGTCCTTGATCAGTAATGGAATTATTTGATAGCACCATCGCAAGGACTTTGAGCCAATCAAGACATTCAAATAAACTTTTCACCACTCTTAATGAAATAAAAGAAGTTGGCAAATGAGTGCACATATCCACAGTGAATGTCCTCATCTTCCTCCTGATCGAATTCAGTTCTTTCTTGACAAACTCATGAAATGTCAATTTTTGTATTTTGTTCTTCTTAAAAATAAATTCCTTCTCATGTTTATTATATTCACTTTTGTTTCCCTCCTTAAAAAACAACCTGTTTTCTCTTAAAGTTTTATGAACTATCCTCTTCCACTCATTTTGCCTACCAATTTTTAGATCCTGGGAATAGATATCCTTTTTCTCTTGATTTGTTTGTTTGCTTGCAATTGCAAGTAGTTCTGTCTCTTCTTTCAGACAATCATCATCATCTATCTTATAATCCCTCTTTTCCTTACAATTTAAATACTCATGATACTGTTTTTCTGGGTTTTCAAGTAACCATATCATCAGCTCTAAATGATGTTTCCAACCAGACAAAGGCGCAAAGCACTTGGAAAGAATATTTGCACGGTAATCAAGAAATATATCAAGAAGATCATCACAATTGTCAATCCTCATTCGTATTCTGTTACCAAATAATACTATGTCTCCAAGACCATAAGTGTGATAATCAAGGGACTCCATTACAAGCCTAAGAAACCGAGATGCCACTTCCAGTACTGCCACATTAGTTGGGGCACACGTAAGTGTTCTGCATTTCCTTTTGAGGAGGGCAAATAATAATGCACTAACTGTTTTTGTTTTCCCTGTCCCTGGAGGGCCCCAAATCAATTTCACAGTATTTTTGTGAGAACATTCCCTTGCAGCTATACAACTTAAAACTCCTTCTTGTTGAGATTTGTTCAAATCAAATGAGCGGATCACAGCACCAAGATTTGATACATCAATAGTGTACCTTTCACCAGAGAAACATTGAGAACAGTTTTCTCCAACCTGTAAGAAGATGCATCAACAATTAAAGTATGTAAATGCATTCATCCAATCAATAAGGTTACCTTGATGAGGTTTGGAATATATCAAAACCACCACTCCCCATTAAACCCCGACAAGCAAGGGTGGGAGGGGGGGGGGGGGGGCATGGAATAAATACGGGAAAAAAAAGTAATACGAAAAGTCTAGCTTCATCTGCTATTCAGTTGTAAAGCCATACAATGGACAGTGATATTGCTAGGTATATATCTATAAGAAAGACAAAAAATAAACCACTGTTCTTACAGAAGAATCAGGTTGGAGCAGTTGCTTGACGATATGGATGCCTGGACCATCTGGATCTGAGTTCAGTGCATTCCATATATGCATGGTTGTTGTAATGTTACAAAGATAGACAGCAAAACCATATATATATGTGTCATCCTTTTGCAAGTATACTTCGAATTTAACGGGCTTTGATGCTAGAATTTGAACCTCATAAATATCATTCTTTTCTTTCTTTCTTACCCTTTTAATTAAAGCAATAAAATAGGGATTTCCAGGCTTGTTCAAATCATTAATGCATTTTGGCCTGATCTCAGTCAAAGCAATAAGCTGTCCAGTCTCTGGCTCATAATTATCCCCTTTTTTATCACTATCTATTGATGTTTTCATTTCAAGCTTGTATAACAAATCATTTGGAGGATTATAATCTTCAGAAAAATCAATGTCAGTTATTTCACATGCTGGAGCTTCTGATACCATCTTAATGCTTGAGCACAAATCTGTACGAGTTTCCTCAATAAGGGGCAAAATAAATGAGTTCAGATAGTGACTTCCTGACAAGAATGTCCTTGGAATTTGCTTCACCTATTAAAAGATATAAACACTATAGTTTTAGAAGCTAATTACATGTGAAAATCAAAGAACTTCCTGCATGCAATGAACATTGAGATTTGAGTACACTATCAGGCAAGTTGCAGATCATAAAGAAACATCTAAGTTGTGGTACATGCAAGTTGACATGAATAATCTAAGTGTATTTTCAAAACTTGTTCCTTTTCTACAACTTAGAAACCCTAATTAACTGTCTGCAAAGAAAACAAAATCTTCTGCTATATACCCATCCACTTCCTTCATCAAACTTTCAGCACAATGGAAATGCTCAGTATCATACAGTATCAGCCCAACAACTACCTTCAGGGAATCACATTGCATATTTCACAGTGCAAATATCAATATGAAAAAAGAAAAATGTATATGCTGTCAAACATATTCAATTACACCAACACTAAGGAACAATGTAAAGACCAAATGAAATTGTCAAAATGCTCAAAAGCAATGGACAGTAAGTTGCTGAAAGCCTACTAACATAGTTGGACAATCACATAGTAAAAACACACATCCAAATTCCATGCAAGGAAACTTCAAAGCTCCAAGATTAAAATTTTATAGTGTAAACTAGACCTAGTAACTGTGTTTAAAAAGAGGGCAATAGAGAAAAGGCCATAATGAGGCTTGAATATGTGATGAGCATGAGTAACCAAACCTTGTCTCTATAAAGATAATTGTTGAGTACATCCTCAAGTGACCAAGAAAACACCAATCTCACCAAGTCTTTTCCCCGTTCCATTACTTGAGTTTCCCAGAAAATTTAATCAGATTATCACTGATCACAGAAACCCAGTAAAAGAAAAGAGATAAAAGAATGAACTTTTGAGTTGTTCGGTGAAGAAAAACAAAAGGGTAATGAAGAGAAGGAACAATTTTTGTTGCAGAGAACTGAGAAGAGAAGATACAATTGGTAAAACTGGTTTTTGTTAGACTGTTGGCCCTGCTCTGCTGATTATGGATGCTAAATTTTTTTTTTTTTTTTTTACAGTACTAAGGTTTTATTTTTGGAAAAAAAAATTATTTTTTAAAAATATAATTGTATTATTTTAAATTATAATCGTTAATTTTTTCAATTAATAATTATAATTTATTGAATTTTATTATAAATTATGAATTAATTAATAAATTTTACTTAATATATTTTAACTATTAATTGACAAAAATTAATTGTTAAAATTTAGAATAACACAAAATTATATCATTTAAAAGAATAAATATTTTTCTGTTTTCTGAATTCGGCAAGTTTATATAAAAGTGAGGGCATTTCATAATAAAAATAAGAGAGTAACAATTTTTGAGATCCACTTGAGGGGTGGCCGGGAAAAAAAAATTTCTCAAAATATTAAACTTTTTTTATTATAACCAACCATTTATTTGTGGAAAAAGTATTTATCATTTAAATGACATAAAGTTATGTCATTTTAAGATAGAGATAGACACAAAATAAAAAAAAATTATTTAAAATTTTTAAATTAAAAAAATCACTCACTTTCTTCTCACAATTTCCATTTTTTTTTTTGGACATCATAATTTTCATTTTTTGTGTCTATTTCTTCGCGTTAAAATGACATTATTTATGTCATTTAAGATGACAACATCAAACCTTTTATTTATAGTAAAAATAAAATCAATAATTTAAATACTAATATTTGATATAATTTTAATCGAATAATAATATAATAATTTAAAAAAATAGTTAATTATGAAAATTATTTTAAAGAATTTCAAAGTCGTATTTCTAATAAATATTAAAAAATCAATTTGATTCGAACAGATTTAATTTAATTTAATAATTACTTTTTCTGTTTAAGATTTATTAATTTAATTAGTAACTTAGTTCTTAGAATTCTCTTTGCGCGCCAATGGTACTGCAGTTATGCGTAGCAGTTTCTTAACAAGGGGAAAGGGGAAGGAAGAAAATATGCTAATTATTTTTGAAATATATTATTGTTTTAATAAAAAGATGAGGAGTCTAATCAATAATATTAATTTAAGGTATAATGTACTAAATTATAAAAAGGGAAAATCATCTCTCCACAAGATCAAATTATTTTCGGAGAGTAAAAAAATTAAAATAATAAAAATTAATATAATATTATAAGAAATTAGAATTATAAGACCATTTTGCCACGCTTCACCAAATTATTTACCAGACTGCCACGCGAATAGTAAAAATTCCTGAAATGCCATGCGGCATAGTTCGCTACACCGTGCAGCGAATTATGTTTGCAAATAATTCGCTACAGAGTGTAGCGAAATATGCAGTGTCAGGCTGTATAATCAGCAAAAATGACACGTGTCAAGCTGGCAGCATAACAGGCATAATTCGCTACACTCCCCAACGAATTACTGTCAGCTTGATACGTGTCATTTTTGCTGACTGTGCAGCCTGACACTGCATATTTCGCTACACTGTGTAGCGAATTATTTGCAAACATAATTCGCTGCACCGTGTAGCGAATTATGCCGCGTGGCATTCCAGGAATTTTTACTGTTCGTGTGACAATCTGATAAATAATTTGGTGAAGCGTGGCAAAATGGTCACTCTCCCTCCAAAAGAAGTTCTTATGATAATAATAACCGACACCCTTAAAATTAATGAATGAAATTTGATTTAAAACCAATTATTCTTTAAGGGAATCTTATATTTATTATTATTTTAGGGTTATCATCTGATTAATTAATTATTATTGGATCAATTTTGAAATTAAGGATAATAAGTCGTAGAATGGTGATAAGTAATGTATAATCGCCTTCATCCTTTACAAGAAAATATATCAACACATTTTTTTGGGCTGTCTATTCTCTTTTTTTCTTTTCTTTTTTCCCTCTTTTCCAAAACATTCACGACACCGTCCTTGGAAACCCTGATTTGAGCCTTCAATCTCAAATTTGGATATTGTAAGTTCATTTCGTTTCACTTCTCATCCTCTAGTCTTTACAATTTCTAGATTTCGAAGCTACGTTGATTTTTTGTTTTCATTCGATTCCATTCTTTTTGGTTCTTCCCATGTTCTAATATTTAGTCGTTGTAGATTTCAAAGTTATGTTCTTTTGCAAGTGATTTCATTTGGGTCGATTCCAATTTTCTTTTTATTGCAGACTTTGGGTACCCATGAAGGTAACATAATAGTAGGGTGGTTGCATTGCAGGACAAGAGGTGTTGCAGATTGATTTGGTTGTGGGAAGATGCACCCTCCTTTAACATTACACAAACACCCTATGTGCGCCGAAGTGAGTTTGTTAGATCATCCTATTTTTTCATTTTTTTTTAATTATTTACTATTATTATTAGTTTGGATATTGTGTTGTACCTATTAGTGTGCTTGTTACTTATGATTAATTTCATATATTTCCATTCCTATGTCTTGAGATAATGGTTAGCTGTAGGATATTTGGTCCTAAACAAAAGACTTTGGCTGTGTAATTATGGTGCATGTAAGTGTAGAATATGGAGATAGGAGCATCTTTCAGTGTATAAAAAGGAATAACAGTGATGTGTAATCAATGATATTCTGTTTCCTTTCGTCATTTTCTCTTTGTTCCTCTTTAGATAGGATAGGCTGATGTGGAGCCTTATTCTGGAACAATGCCACAAGCCCTGGCAGTGTTCAATTGCCCTTCCGTTTCCTTGTCAGTCCACAGTGGACTTAGGAATCACTTTGTGAATTTTGGATTTTAGATCATTTCTCTTTTCCTTTGGTGCTTAAAGATATCATAATTGGTCTTGCAAACAATGATGATAAATTGCAATTGCTTAAATGCATATTATTGGCGGTTTGAATCAGTTTATATTATAGCTGGCTTTTTAATTAGAGAGACTGCTTTTTATGCAGATTATTGAACAGTTTCAAAAGTGTCATATAGACCATCCTATTGGAAAATTCTTTGGTGAATGTACAGATTTGAAAATAAAATTGGATCGCTGTTTCAGACAAGAAGTGAGCTTTTCAATTTTTTACTCTCTTTTTTTTTCCATCTATTGTCTGGGTCTCCTTGTTTTGCTGTGGTTGGTAATAATCGCCCATGTGTTCCAACAGAAAGCTTTGAAGCGAAAGGCCAACTTTGAAGAGAGCAAAAAGTTTAAGGAACAGTTGAGAGTTTTCAGGAAAGAAAATGCTGCAAGCAGCGGTCAATAGAAGAATTTTCTGAATTGTTGAAAAAGCCCAAACTATTGTGCAAATTGCAATCGGTAATTTTGTATAAGGGCTTGATATGATACGCTTTTTACCACCTTCAATCAGGGAAAACTCCATATCATTATTGTTTAAATTATGTCTGATGCTATTGCCTTAAGTGCTCTGTCTTCTATGTTGCTCCCTTACCGTTTTGTTGAATCAATATGAATGTAACTGTATTATATTAAACTAAGACACATGTTACTTCGTAGATAATGAGAGCACCATGCTGAAAGCCAAAATTGGTTGAGGTGTAATTCGGATTTAAACTCAAATCAAGCAAGGATGAATACCAACTCATAACAAATAAATAGTTTCTAAGCATCCATCTTTTTGCTATATCTTCTGCCATGAGCATAACTTTGCTTGTTTGGATTCCACATCAGATAACAAATGAACATGTTTTAATGTCTATTTCTGCATGATATGGATGTAATTGATGGCAGTTGGGCTTGACATAGTTGCCTTGAGAGAATATCTTATCAGAAAGACAAAAATCAGTTTAGGTATCATGATGACTGCAACTATTTACTGTTACTTTTAGAGTATATATACACTTCATTCTATTTAGTTAAGACTCCTCAACACCATCCCTTCGTGAGGGGACAAAGAGAGCGAAAGAAGATACAGTTATCCAAGTAGGGGCTTTGATTTTCACCTGGGTTTAAGAATATATTTTATTTTTTTAATCACGTTACCAATTCATTATAAGCAAGATTCCATGATGAACCATTGTGATAAAGAGGAAATTAAAGGAGGAAATTTTATTTATGTAGACTGAAAATGTTTGTGAGATATCAGTCGAATATTACCTATGTAGAACTGAAAATTTCACACTTCAAAGCATTGGATTGGCTTCTGATCTCTCGTAAACTTAAATACAATCTTCTTAACTTCCTTTCCGCTACTTATTTCTACTATTTATATTCCTGTCTAACTGTCATGCTATAACTTCAATTCTGCTGTAACTGCACCATTTAACTGCAATTTCCTTCCTGGATGCTGGTTAACACATGATTGCCATATTGGGAAGGACCTAATCCTCTACGGTCCTTCCTTATATATACCCTTATTATAGGTCTTCCCTCCATACTTTCTCTCAAAATATTTACCTTTTCCTCACAGTGAAAATGTTAGAGAAGTATATAAACCATTGATAGGTCTTCACTTAACAGCTTAAGTTTTTGGGTTGAATTGATTTTTTACAGTGGTATCAGAGCCGTGTTTGGCTCACACTAGCCAGGTGTTTGACTAGGAGGTGGATTGAGTACTTGGACCTAAGGTACTCGATGTTGAGGGGGAGTATACCAATGATGGGTTTCTTGCTTGAAGGGGAGATTGTTAAGTTATTCAAGTGTGATAAGTTCCACATTGGTTGGTAATGAGCTTAAGCTTTTGGGTTGAATTGGTTCTTTACATGGTATTAAAGCTTCTGTGACCAAGTGGTCAAGAGTTCGATCTTCATCGCCCCTCATTTTCTTAATAAAAATAATTAATTATTGTGGACTTTCGTAGTATAGGTAAGCTGAGCCTGATGCATCATCCACCCTTCAAGCCCAGTGGGCTCTTGTGTGAGGGGACGTGTTAGAGATATATAAAATCATTAATGTAGTCTCACCCACCAGCTTAAACTTTTGGGTTGCAATGGTTCTTTACATGGTATCAGAGCCTCGGTGTCACGGGTTCGATCCTTATCGCCCCCCACTTTCTCTTGTGGAATTTCTTAGCACAGGTAGGTGGGCCTGTGTATTATCCATCATTCATGCTTAGTGGGCTCTCGTATGAGGGGGCGTGTTAGAGAAGTATATAAACCATTGATAGGCCTTTACTTAACAACTTAAACTTTTTGGTTGAATTGTTTTTTACAGTGGTATCAAAGCTGGGTTTGGCTCAGGCTAGCCAGGTATTTGGCTAGGAGGCGGATTGAGTACTTGGGCCTAAGGTACTCTTTGTTGAAGGGGAGTATAACAATGATGGGTTTCTCGCTTGAGGGAGAGATTGTTAAGTTTTTCAAGTGTGATGAGTCTCATATTGGTTGGTAAATGAGCTTAAGCTTTTAGTTTGATTGGTTCTTTACAAAAAGAATCTGAAAATTACTGATTGATGGTAAAAAATAACTCCAGTGCTTTCAAAGGAAGGAAGGGATTCTCATGTGTTCAGAAGAACTTCAATCTGGGCAGCAGCAGAGGAATGATACTTGGGGACCTCTTCAGGCTGTACAAGGAGCTCAAATTCTGCAGACACAATGGATGGTAATGGTTGAAGTACTGCAGAAGCAGAAACTGCTTGTTTGAGTAGGGAGACATGAAAACCGGATGAACCTGCCTATAATGGGTAGTCACTGTCTTATCAACACTAATAATGATGTTAGCTTCCGTAAATCTAATTTCATCATCAATAAGTAAGAGCGTGCATGGAGCGGTTTGATTTTTAAACCGAATTGGTTTTTCTTTTTAAAAAACTAGTTTTGATTTTTTTCAAACTAGTTTGGAACCGGTTTCAAAACCGGTTTATGGTTAATAACTAGTTTTGATTTAAAACTGGTTTTAAATCAAAACCGGTTTTCAAGTTAAAACTGATTTTGAATCAAATTAAATCCATATATGATTTTTTTTTTCCTTCTCAGGTCCAAATCTAATTACTGAGATACTTTTCTGCATATTGAAAGCTTTCCACAATGGCATAAACTCTGAATCACTGATGTGAAAATAGATAATCTAGGACTCATAGACGTGCACTCCATTTCACAATACAGCTCAAGAACTTCCGGAACCTCATCCTTTTTGGCATAACTGCATCATATGAGAGTATGTAACAGCTATGATTATCAGTGATTAACCCATAACACTTATTTTGAAAGAAGAAATAAAAGAAAAAGAACCATAACAAAATGAAAGAATACCAACCACTGTTTATATGCTTACCATCTTCAAAACCTGCATCAGCTTGTTCTTTTGGGTTGATTTTCATCTTAAGAGTTCTGAGAAGATGGTGATGGAGATTTTTCCCTTTTTACATCGAACGATGAACAATCGCCAAGAATTTTCAAAGAATAATTACTCACATCAATACCTTTTCACCTTTTTCATCTGAAAGGGTATTTTATTTTCAGTAGCTATTTCCTTGAACTACAGAGATCAATCTTTTTGCAGAGTTCTCCGGGCTGAACAGAAGTGATTAAAAGTGGAGCTTAATAATCCACCAATTCGATGCACTGTGCCCTAGCGATGTGGATGAATATTTGAAATTCAAAGCAAAAATAAAAACGGTTTAATATGGAATAAAATGGATATCCAAATTACTTTTATGGATCAGTAAAGACCTGTTTTAGAAAATGAAATTCAGTTTAACATAAAATCGGTTTTTAAAAAAAATTATTTTTTAAGTACAGATCAATTTGGTTATGGATCAATTTGAATCTTTTGGATATTTTAAACACCCCTAATAAGAATATGCTAGTTTTCATTCACATACTACTCTGAAAATCAGAGTCAGCATTATAGCATTTTAATTTCTCTCATCAATTGTAACTAGTGTAGACACATCCAAGTCTGACTATAAGCATTTGAAGAAACCTGCTATAAAACCTTTGAGCTACAATCTTTGTCGCTACTGTACTATGTTGTCGCTAAAAAAACGAACAAACACAAATGGATCTTATAACAGTATTGGAAACTTTTAGAACAAGTAGCTTAAAAGTAATTAAAATCATTAGTTAGAAATAAATATTTATATGCTTAACATAAACAAAGATATAAGTTGATTACAAAATAATTGGGGAACATTTAGACTGCTCTTTCACGCAGTAAGCGAGTTTTTCTTTTTTGTTTATGAGGGCCTGTTTGTTTTGTTCTCCCCGTAGTTTCTTATAAAATATAAAGCATTGACAACTTCAAGCAAAATTAGTTGCATGAAAAAAAGGTACAAGTTAAAGAAATTAGTCCGGATTCGGTAGGCAGTTTCACAACTTTAAAAGCATCACTATTAAGGAAATGATTTCCCTTCATCTCCATTTACCTACGTACTGGGAAAATTTAGGCTAAGTGCCTCAGTGAGAAGTATAGCCTCTTTTTCATTCTGACCTGTCTTCCAGACCTTTAATTCTAAGGGATAAGCGGCAGTTTCATTCCAACGTTTGAGTACAGACATTGAAAAGGGCCCTCTTCTTTCTCCAGAAGGACCCAAACAATGCCAAATAGACATATCAGGATTCTCCACTACCTTTCTTCCTGCTGAAATCTCTGCAGTATTTGCATCCTGTTCATCACTGTCACTTAATTCAATTACATCTGCAGTTGAAATGCTAATTCCATGTTCTCCCACAGGAATAGCTGAGATACTTGTATCCTGTTTATCATTGACACTCCCCCCATTAGCATCAGCAACTGAAATACTTTGCTTTTCCTTGTTTGTTTGTTCAGCATTCCGGGTAGCGTTCAGATTTCTGCCATCTATACCAGAACCAGATTCAGTATAACTCAATAGTTACATTGCATAAAACACTTGGTACAAACATGAACTAAATTAGTGGCACATAAACTGTTCCTAGCTTAAGAAACTTTCAGAAGCAAGCGAAAGTCACTTTAGAATTCAGAACCTTAAAGAGAATATATTGAATTAATATCGGAACGAAATAATACAAATATGACAAAATACACATTAAATTCTAATTGACATGGATTTGGTTCTTTAAAACACAAAATTACTCAAATTTGTAGAGGGTTTTGATGAAAAGACAAATCACAGCATGAGCAAGATTGTAAAGTTAATTCAGAAAACAAAGGCAATATCGAGAACCCAATACATAGAGAAAATTTTAAAACAAAGAACAAAAGTAAAGTTATAAGGACACTATATACATAAAACGAGGGAGTCAGACAGGAAAGGCTGACAAACCTGCAACATTTGTTCTATTATCCAGAAAACGAGTAAAACAACTGTGTTTGGAAAAACGTCCAACAGAGTTACAAGTGTCTCCAATGGCTAATTCTGGCAAGCCATTTTGCTCAAGCTTATCTTTTCTTGGGGAACCCTCCGGTGACATATTGTTATCAACTATTTCAGGAATTACTTTTGGAATGTCACTTAATAAACGTGATTGTTCCGATGGAGTCTCGAGCTTCATTTTTCGGTCCATGTACTCAGAAAGTGTATTGAAATATGGTTAAGGCCCAAATTTGCTATTCACAGCTATTATAAAACACCATGCAGAGAAGAATACAAAACAATATATCAAAAATAAAAACGATATTAACAGCTTTCAGTTTATAGTTTACAACCCCTCTTTCCTACTTGGTAGTGATTAAGAGCTTGGCATGCTTGATCAAGCATTAA